ATGCCTTTGTTCATTAAGTTAAATGAACCTTAGTTGGTAGGTTTATGTAGTCACAGTCTTGAAAGATTTTTCTCCAGTGTGTTTTTTCAAAGATGGCATTGTGAGAATAAAAGCTCAGTGCATCCATAAGTAGTCATGTGAAAGCACAGAGCAGCAGCAGTGATTGCCATGTCAGACATTTGTTAGGGCACCACTTGAGAACGGATGGTTTAATTTTTTTTTTTTACTCTGCCTTTATCAAGGACAAAGAACCTGATATAACACCAAGAGTTATTTAAGAACATGAAAAGGAGCTGCCTGCTGCAGTCAGCAATCCACAGGCTCAGTTTAAAATCTTCTGAAGTCAACTAGGCAACTCACCTGGATTATGACAGGCTCTGGATCAGGCGCTGATGATGACTAAGAAACACTCCAGAAAGCAGTGACACCTAATGGCAAACATGCCTTTGGATGATGGCAAACCCTAATCTGTGGTGTGAAAAGTCATCCCTCTTTAGCTACAGAGTAACTAACACACATCACAGGGACTGAAGCGCTGGCGCCAATCGAAGCACCTGGGAAAGTGTTTCAGAAATAAGGCACCCAGAAGCAGAGAGTTTGTTATGCAGGCCAAGCATTTCAGGAGAACATGGTTACTAACAGAGCCTCCTGGCCGCTCAGCCCCAGCACACCTGGTTCCAGGTCCTCACTCAGAGGCATGTTTAAAATAAGCAAGTAACCTTCTCACATCCCACACCAGGGACAACAGGGGCCTGAATGCGCCCCTGCTGACACTACAGGCACAGAGAAATTTATTTGTTTTTAATAAATCTGTTTTGCTCGCTTCTCTTGTGCTTTACAAATGTATGTGAGAGTACTGTAATGAACAGTTAGTGGTGTACACTACAGACCTCCTAATGAGGCTTCACCAATAGCACAGCAAATTAAATTCCTATTACCAATTCACAACACAACCCCAGCTGCACTGTAGCACATCAGTTTATAAGAAAAAATGAGACAGGCATCCCACCAAACAACAAGAATCCCTTTCCTTCACAGAAAAAAATACGTTTTAGTCATCTTCAACATCAAGAGAAGGAACAAGCAATGGACCTCATGCTGGAATTGCTTTGATATTATTAACCATGGTACAGAAGAGCTTAAAGGTGTGAGCCAAAACTCAGGACCCAGCAATGCTGGGAACTTGTCCAACACAAGGAATGCAGCAGTCCTGGCCTACAATGTCTAAAAGCTGAGAAGAGTAAGGTAAGGTCAGGACTGATTTTCTCTCTCAAGAAAAAAAATTGTATCTATAAATATATTAAAACCAGATGTATATGTATAAGCATATATAATACATATCTATATCTGTTTATGAAAATTCCATTAAAAATAAAAAAGCCAAGGGCAGTACACAGTTGACTGTGTATGACTAAAGTAACTGATAAATATAAAAACCAACTTGACATAATCAGGGAGGCTGAACTAGATTAGCCTTCAAAAATACTGTAGAGTATTTTTTCAGCAAAACTTTTGTACCACACTATGTGCCTGCTGCCCTAGGTGATTTTGCAGCAGCTAATACACATATATCTGCCTATGTGTTTCTATAGGCACAATAGGAAATCCATAAGCATGCACAAATGTATTACTATGTGAGTACCAAGGGAAAATAATGAGCACAAAGTACAAAATATAAAAGCATGAGACTATCAGCGGTAGAAGATACAAAGCATACGCAAATTGTGCGGTTGACAAGGAATGCCACCTAATCCCTGCTTAATTAAAACGCTGTTCTAAACTCCTGTTTAGGGAGTGAGGAGTGTGGGACGACTGATGTATGAAGGAAATATCAGGCAGCGTGGATAATCTCAAAGACTTGGGAGCTTTCGAGCTACATAAATCAGAGCGACTTTTTGAATAGCCTCATAAAACACAGAATCATTACCATTCCACTCACGACTTTCAGATTCTTCCTACAGCATACAGATCATTAGGAAACTTCTAAGCAATCAAGTAATGTGGGACTGATGAAATTACTCAATCAATGCATGGGCTGAGAGAAGCAGCATAATACAGGATTGCACAGTTTTGACATGGTAACCCTGCCCCTTTCTTTTTTATATAAGAGTAAGGAAAATTATAGTGGAGTCGATTCATTTCACCATTTTCACAAGAGTGCTTAATGTAGTCTTTCTGAACTGCCAGTTCCTATTTATAATAGCAGGGCAGCAGAAACATACAGACTATAAGCAGTTTTACTGATGTTTAAAATATGATACAGGAAAACCTTTCTTTTTAAATGTGCACATGTACATATGCACAGAACTTAGAGATCAAAAGCAGAATCTGTACACAGAATATAGAAATATGAGAAGGCATTATCATAGATACCAGTCAGTGTATCCCTCCCACTGACATCATCAAGTCGTTAATGTCTACTCACTAAATTGTAACATTTTTTTGGCATTGTCTAAGAGAGGACTGATAAAACACTTTGAGACAGAAAGCATCCTTTTACAGGAAACACATAAAATAAAACATAGGCAAGCAAGAGAGTTTGTGCATTATATTGAAAAAAGTATGTACTATTAGGAAAAGGGTATGCACAAGTAACATGTTATTTCTTATGACCATCTGCCCCTCTCAAACATGGGAAAATATTTTCCACTTGAATATATTAGCACTGCAGAACGAAAAAGAGATAATGCATTTATTCTGTCTGTTGCCTAAGGCGTCAGAACTACCTCTGGTAGTATTTCTTTTCCCCTGAACTGAGCATTTCAGTTTTTTCTTTGGCTTTCTGAGTTCTACTGTTGTTGATTTCTTCATAGAGTACTCTGCTACAGCTTTTCCTCATTCATTTAACTAAATACAGTTTATTAATTATGTCTAAATATTTTATACATAAATTTATTTTATGCAAGTGGAAGAAAGCAAAAAGGGGCTCAGAAGATCAGGCCACAAAATACAGTGGTGTTACTTGAGGCCAAATTTTCCTCTTTACAACTCAGCTATGCAACTTGGAATATTTAGCTCTATACTCATTCACTGTTAGAACAGTTCTGATTTCAGATAATTTATTTTCAGAATATTAATTTTAGTAGATGTACAGCTCTGTGTACCACTTATATAGTTTGCCATTTTCATGACAGCACAAACCAGTCTATAAAAAGAACTAATCCCCTTGTCAACTGTACTAATTGTCTCTCAAGACAAATTGTGTGAGAAGCAACTGCTTTGGTTCTGCTCGTTTGGGTTGTTGGGATTTTTTTTTCAATGAGGATTTACTGTGTTGATGTATCCAATCACTGACAGCATTATTTAAAAAAATTAAAATGTGTTGCATTTATCATATAAAACAAGCAAACCAAATAAATTTTCATTAACACAAGGGGAGAAAAGCTATCGTCTCCCCTGACGGTAGTGCAAAGGCACACGGCTTGCCCAGCAGCGCTGCTTTAGCCAGGAGGATGGGCGACAGCGGATTGCAAAGAAACTCCTCACATGCTACACACTCAAAATTTCCCCCCAAATCCTAGGATGTAACCGTTTGTTACAAGCTCTTAAGAAAGAAACCCTAAGACGTAACTGTCTCCTAGTGTCGTTTTAAGAGTCTGCAACTGGGAAGAATTTAAAAAGTCCTTCTCCCTTTAAAAGGAGGGCATAGAGCGCTACCTCCCCGTGCAATATTTGCTGCTCGAGTCTCACACAGCCAAAAGGAGTGACCCCTGTAAAGTTGCGGTACCTAAGGGGAGCGGTGGCTTCTGGGCTCAGGGACAGCTACACGAAGGGCTGGCGCACCTATGCCCCAAAATCAGTCCTGCGGGAAAGCTCCTGACGGCCGCGCTTTCCAAACGCTCTCCCCGCTTATCCTTCCGCAGAAACCCGCTACGGATCCCCGCGACAAGCACCGGCAGACATATTTATAAAGCCAACCCCGGGGAGAGCGGCAGCTGCCCCGCAGCCGGGGCCGGCACCGCCCCAGGAACCTCCCCAAAGCCCCGGCGGGACCCTGCCCCGAAATGCACCTTCCCCGGGGCAGCGCGGCGCCGGCCGCCCGCCCGCCCCCGCTCCGCCTGCGTGCGGTGCCTGCAGATGGGCGAGCGGCCGCGGGGGAAGCGCCCTCCTCTCCCGTCCCCGCTCCGCTCCCTCCCCGCGCAGCCCCGGCCGGCGCAGGGGGGCCCCCCGCTCTCGCCATCGCGGGGACCGAGCGCCGCTCGGCAGCGCGGCTCGGCGCTGCCCGGGTATGCGCCCGCCGAGAGGGAGGGCTGCCGTGCCGGAGATGGCTCGGGATAACGGGGAGAGAGGGGCACGGGCGGCGGGGAGTGCGGGCAGCGCCGTGCACCGGCATCAACCCGAGCTGCCCCCTGCCCCCGGGGCGGAGGGGAGGCCGCTGCCCTTCCCGGGAGGCGCAGACGGGGCCGGCGGGGTGGCGGCCGGGAAGGGGGTGCCGGACGGCCAGAGCCCCCCGCGGCCGCCCTGCCCGCCCGCGGCCGGGAAAGCGCTCATGTTGCCAAGCCAAACCACCTGTTCCGCCGCGGGAGAGGAAGGCGGGGTGGGGGCTGTGAAGGAGGGAAAAGTGTGGGGGGTGGGGGCTTTGCCTGGCTGTCACCGTGGTGTGAGGATCACGGGGAGGCGTGGGGTGTCCCCCGGCCGGGGGCGAGCCGGGGCAGGCGGAAGGCAGGCTGGAGCTGAGGGGCGGCGGGGAGGAACCGGGGAAGTGCCCGAGCCCTGGGCGCCCCATCATCAGCCTCATCAAAACCTCAAGGTCTAAAGCACGCACATACCCCACCGCGAAGAAACCTTTACACAGCGCTGTAGGGGAAAAAGAGGACGCCTGAGGTCCTGGTGAAAAGCAATTATAAGAGAGGACTAAACAACAAAAAAAGCAAGCGAGCAAACGATTAAAGAGAGTGGGTGTTGCGAGGGGAGCGGGGAAAGCCTTCCAAGAGAAGGAAGGTTGCAAAGGAGAGCTGGAAAAGTGTCCAGCAGCACCAGCAGGCGCAGCACCCCCTTACCGATATGAATGATTGAATCTGCAATCGCCGCTTTCCAGGTTCGAGTCCAACAGACGGACACGACCAGGATGAGGGAGAAAACTTCCATCTCCTCCGGAGGTCCAGGCTTTATAACAACAGATCTCTTCGCCAACCGGAGCTGCCGCGGACAGTGCAGCGCAGGAAGCCCAAGAGTTTGAGATGCAGCCGGAGGAGCGTGTAAATCCCGATGGCTGGCGCAGAGCCGCGGCTGGTCAGGGAGCGAGCCCGGGGCTCCGAGCGCTTTTCTCCTCGGCGAAACCCCGCGTCACTTCGCGGGGCTCCTGGGCAGCACCAGAATTGCTGGGAGCGCCGGCAGCAAATCCATCCAGCCCGGGCGCCGCCGCGGGCAGCAGACGCCTCTGCTGGTCAGACAATCCCCATCCTTCCGCCGGGTCCAGGGATCCGCTCGGTCCCGCTGCCGCACAGCAACTTCCAACCCACACCACGCACAGGCTCACACACACAGACACACACGCACACACACGAGCAGACACGCACACACGAGCAGACACCCACAAACCCTCTTGGCCAGAGAAGCCCCAGGAGCCCGCAGCAAATAGCTCGCCTTCAGCGAGGTGGGAGGAGCGGGCGACCGAGGGAGCAGGCGATCCCGCTCCCGGCAGCCAGATTCCTGCAGGAAAAGCCCCCCCGGAGGCCAAAAAACAAAGTGAACTTCAAGGTAATGCAGATAGTAATGCAGAGATTTCCCCCCACCCTTCGCTTAGAAAAATCGCTTCCCACAACTGGAGGAAAAAAAAAATAAATCTGCCAATGGAGCCCAGCGTGCTGTCTCTGTCGCGCAAGGTGGTGGTTGGACAGGGCAGAAGCGAGAGGAGGAGTACCCGGAGCGAGGCAGAGGAAAGCAGATGATGGTCTGCAGGTTGCTTTTGGATCTTGCTTTGCTGGTGGGATGCAGAGAGAACTGGCAGCTCCAGCACCAGCCAGCACGTTGCCTAGAAATGGATCACCTAGGAGAAGGAGAGAGAGCGAGAGATAAGTGCTATCAGCCAGAGAGGGAGAAACAGAGAGAGCGAGCGAGTGAGAGCGCTTCTCTCTAATAACCACCTCCTCCCCCTATCTGCAATACAAGGGAGAAACAATATAGAGCCCTCCGTCTCCCTTGAAATCTTCAGCTGGGACTAAGGAACAGACATAGGCAAGAGTGCATACAGCCTAAAAATACATTGGGGGAGGGGGGAAAAAGTCTTTTTGAAGTATTATGTTCAGTTTAAAATTATTAAAAAAAAAAAAAAAAGCCACCCCATTTACTTAACCTTGTAAATCCACTGTGGGGATCAAGTTCAAAGCTAGACGGGCACCTCTGCTTCTCAGTCTTTGACAACTGAGTCAGGGACATCACTTAAAGGGGAAAAGGAAAAAAAAAAAATCAGGGACACCTGGCCTCTAGGGGAAAATGAAGACCTAAAAATCTATTAATATTACTTTAATTATCTATGTTCTTGATGGAATTTTGCACAGCTCTTTAAAGCAATGAATTAGCTTTTTTCTTCCTCTCTCTTTAGGTAATGGAGAAATTTCTATAGGAAACATTTAGAGCACACTTTTCATGCTCAGAGTTCTATGAATTCATTAACCGATTAATCCTCAGACTTCTCGTGCTGTAGTTTAAATATGTTATCCCCATTACACAGACAGAGAATTGTACAGAGAGGTTAAGTATGTTCCTATAAAACAGTCTAAATCCCCACTTTATGTCTTAATACACTTTCTTCTGACTTTGATTCTTCTAGTCCCACTAGAGACAGGAGGCAGAAATCAAAGAATTGCTCAGAACATTGTAGTTATATCCTAAACTCACATGAACCATTGATAAGTCCTGGTAGCCAACAAATGAGAGGTTGATCAACCCATTTCCTTCAGACGAACCTCTTTTGAAGGCATCTTCTTAGTTATAACACTTCCAAGTTCATCATACCCAACTTGTATATGTCTCATCTTTCTCCTGACTTGGATATGTCTTCTTTCAGCTATGGGACTGGTTGGCAAAAACAGTTGTATGCCTATAAAATTTAAGGATTTAGTTCAAGAGGGAGAAATAAGCTTTTCAAGAAAAGCTAAACTAAACCAATGGCAAGATAATTCTCTATCATCTGTATAAGTCACAGATATGTTATCAATTAGGGCAAACAGTAAAAAAGAGTGTTTTTTTTCCCTACAAATGACAATTTATGCACAGTATCGGTGAATGTAGTGGACATTAATTTTACAAGTAAAAAATTCCAATTAATCTGAGAAACTTTTGGAGCTGCTTGAGTCATTATTACTTTTTCACAAAAGAAGAGAGTTCACAAGAAATGTTAATTCACTTCTTTGGGGGGCATGTCAGAGCAGTATTCTTTAATAATGTACAATGCACAGTAGGCAGAATAGGAAATGTAATGGAAACCTTTGGAAAATTATAACTTTTTAATCCTCAATTTAGATATTACTAAGAATTTGAGGCCTTATCTAAGAACCAGATATTCTTACTGACTCTTTAAAGCATATAGTACCCTGAACTGGCCACACTAAATGGAATTTTTTGCAAAAGTCTGTAGACACATAGAATACAAGAGATAGCCAAGAGTTTGTAGCTCAAAAATACCATCTAATTAAAAAAAAATAATAATTTTGAGTGGAGTGCAAAATAATAGTTCCAATGGTAAAGAACATCATGTGAAAATCTGAAAGAGACTGAAGTAAATTTAAAAAATAAATTCAAATAAAATTACTTTAAATAGTGAACACATTGTTGACTTAATATACATCCACCACAGAGATAAAGTAATTTTCACTTCCATTCTCTTTAATACTCATTAAAAACTAAAACTGATGTCACCCATTTAAACAGAGTGAAAAACATCTTGTGCTTTGTGGTTAGTTCCAAGTATCATAAAAATATTGAAGTTGTCTTTTCTATTCAGATACAAAAAAATTGCCGAAAGTTAAAGCTAGGGAAAAGAAAGAATTTCAAAACTGAGGAGTTACCAATACTGTGAAAATATCCTAAAAAATAACGGGCACATCCAGGCCCCTAAAAAGCCATAAGCACTGTGCTCAGGGCTTCAGTGACAGCTGCCTTGGGCACTGTGGAAGGTGAATCCCACAGGTTTCAGCCATGCCAGTCTTCCTTCACTACAGCTTCCCTCCCAAACACCCTCAGTTCCATCAGCATCACTCCAGCTCCACCACTGGCCTCCATGGGAGAAGTGCCAACAACCAGCAACCAGCCCTGGTTTCTACCAACGGGGAGTGGTTGTCTTCTTTCCAGTAGCCTGACTCCAGTGTGTTTCCAGCTTGTTCCCACTGATCAGCTGTTACAGTGCTGCACATTAATGCAGCCCCTGGAGGAGCAGCAAAGAGAGGATGTTCTTGTAAAACAGAGGCAATGGGGGGCAAATGTGTGTAAAGTTTTTTGCCTCACACCCACTGCTACCTCAAAGAAGCCAGCCTGGGACCTGAGTGTCTGTCTACATAGGAGAGAGCTAAAACCAAAAGTTTCACCTGCTTTTCAATCATCTAAAGCCTTATTTTTGATAATATAATGCCCCTTTCCCATCTCTTTGGCTATACAAGCAGCTCTGACCATGCAGAGGTCAACTTTTCATTTGTTTAGTTCTAAGTCCCAGGAGATCCTTCAGGTATTTGAAGAAATTCAATTACTGATAAGACAGGCACACTTACAACCTTCAGTTTTGGGAGATAAACAGAACAGCTAAGCCTTACAATTAGGGTCCTAAATTCCATAGGAAGTATTACTTTTCTCACACATGAACATTGAACACATCTTTTGCACACCAGAATTTTATATTTTCTGTCCAAGTGTATTGCCTAAACTTAAAAAAAATGTTTAATGAGATGAAATCAAGTTACACCTCGGGTTAATTCACCAGCCCATGCGCTCCAACACCTTTTTCCATGAAGACCCAGGAGTTATTAATACAGAGAAAAAAACCAACCCAAGAAGTATACACACATCTGACTGTTCTGCACTGTCCAGAGTGGGAAAGGGAATAGGAGAAATTCCTTCCTGACCCTACTAAGTCATCACCCCCTGTCAGTTAACATTGTCACCTTATTTTGTATAGTATGAATCTTAGTGGACACAGAATTAACCTAAAAATAAAATAAATTATACAGGGAAAAAAAACAAAAAAACAATCCAGCAGCATTTCAATCTAAATAACAATTTCCCCCACTTTTAAAACACAAACTGACAAATATCCCTCACCTTGAAGTGATTTATTTTTTAAAATACTTGCATTCTAAAAGTGCTGCTATAAAGCAGCTGACTGACAGGCCTACCAAGAGACCATGTGCCACAAGCAAATGTTCCTGTGCCACCGAGCTGGTGCCCAGACTGTCGAGGAGTGCTGCTCATTCCAAGAGGTTACTTGAGTTGACACATCCACTCAGTCTTTGCTTTACCTGGCATAGCTTCAAACGAGAAGTCATCTGGGAGGGCTTTAGTTAAGTGGACATCTGTCCATTAGGAAATAGACTTGCTTCAGTGACCGCCAAATAACCTTTAAATTAAAGCTTTTTCCTACTGCCAACTTTTAGGTTGTTCTCTGTATTATGAGAGAGGTCCAGGTTAATAAGACCATTCCAATTCTAAATAGTGGCCCAGACACTGACTCCATCTGTCCTGTCACACTTGAAGTGAAGCATGTACTCCTGGGCCTCTGTCATCTCTCTTGAATAAGGGGGATATTCTTGCCTTTACTTAATGGAATAGTTTGAGGACTAATACATTCATTTTTAAAAATGCAAAGTATTATACCCTTTTTCCAATTTCCTTCACTCAGTTTCTGCATAGTTTAAATATGTCAATGTGTGTATTTCTCCAAGAGAGTGTGTGCATGTGTAGATAAGTAAATAGATAGAAAGTAATTTCATTTGGTCATTATATAAATAAACAGAACATTAAATATTTACTGCATTTCATCAGACAGTGCATGATGTGGCCTTGAATATCTTACCACAAAGGAATGCACCACAAAACCAGAATCAAGAGTTATTCTGCTAGGCCGGAGAATTGAGAAAAAAAGAGTATCGATGCAGTACATAACAAGGATTTAAAAGCTTTCTGCTTTTTCAAAAACTATAATATGGTTGAGTTTATTTGAGAGCTTGTGTTTTATCCTTTAGCCTCACTACACAAAACTCAGAAAGTGGTTATGAAGTGAAGTCAACCTTTCGAGCAACCAGTGTTATCAAGTGATTTAGCAGGGACTGCTGCTGAGGTAGATTTATTTTGTCTCCATTTAAACTCATGTTATAGATCTCCTGTGTTGCCTGAGCCATCCT